TTACCCTATCTCAGGTAACTGGCATGGGGACCTGTGTTGGCCGGGTCCCACTGACCTATACAAGCCTCTGCAACACCATCCTCCCCCTTAATGTCACAGGGAGGGGGCAGTTCCTCTTGCCTCACAATGACACCTGGTGGGCCTGCACCACGGGACTAACAGCCTGTGTAAATCGGGAAGTCCTGCAGAGAACATCTGGTTTCTGTGTTATCAGACTCCTGCCTAGAATCACCTACCACACTCATGAAGATTTCTTAACCCTCTATACTAGTCTAAAAGGCCCAAGAACTACCAGCCTCACTAGACTTAGAAGGGAGCCAATAACCGCAGTAACTTTAAGTCTCCTCATTGGGACAGGGATTGCTGCTGGGATAGGGACAGGAGCCACAGCCTTGGCAAGACAAGATCAGCATTATTCCCAGCTCAGAGCCAGCTTAGATTCAGACCGCCGACGAGTCGAGGAGTCACCTACAAGACTCCCTGAGCTCGCTGGCTGAGCTAGCCCTGCAAAATCGTAGGGGATTAGACCTCCTGTTCTAAGAGAAGAATGCTGTTTTTATAGGGACCACTAAGGCTTAATAAAGGATAATATGGCCAAAATAAGAGAAGGGTTGGAACAGAGGAGACTAGAATGAGAGGCCAGACAGGGATGGTTTGAGTCCTGGTTCAACCAATCTCCCTGGTTGACAACCCTCATCTCCACCCTCTTAGGTCCCCTTATAGTTTTATTTTTAATACTCACCTTTGGGCCATGCATCCTCAATAGATTAGTACAGTTCATGAAGGACAGGTTAGGCACCATCCAACTTATGGTTCAGAGGCAACAAGTAGTCTATATGCCCCTTAGCGCGATCCCCCCAGATACCTGTGAGCTGGCCGACCAGAACCCATGATTGGGTTCCCCAGTTACAAGACAATGGGGGAATGTAGAACCCGGAGACCCTCTTCATTCACCCGTACCCCCCAATCCCTCAAGACCCCCACTAATTGCTCTTTTACCTTCTGTAAAATGCTTGGCTGCTGCTTTAGACATGCCTAAATATGCCCTGGCATGCCCTGACTCCCACCTGCTATTCCCCCCCCTTCCTGGAAACTATAGATTAACCAAGCCTGAGCATAAAAATTGCCCTATAAGGTAAAAATGGAGACTCCTGGCCCCACAGGTAACAGTCAGCACATTCCACATCCCTGAGAATAGCACCTACCAATAAGAAACTTCCAGGGCTGCATCTTATACATCTAATCAGTTTAAAATTATGTTGGCGCGTGCGGGCTCCTTGAACCAACCAAAATGTATCTTCGGTATCCGCCCCCTTCTTTGTCTAAAACCTATAAAAGTCTCCACTCTCCCTTACTCTGGGCTCTCAGCATGGATCCGCTGAGTTGGTGAGGTCTGAGAGCCCGAGCTTAAGCCCGAGTAAACCATAAACCTTTGCTTTTGCATTTTGGTGTGTTGGGTCCTCAATGGTCTTTTTGGGGTCCAGTGGATGAGGTACAACAAGAACACATGTACGTGAATACGTACATATACCCCCCCCCACACACACACAGAAGACATGGACAGAAGGAAGAGAGAATGAGGGGCTCCTGGTGAGAAATTAGATTGGGGAGCAGCAAGGAAATCAGGGTCAAAAGATAGGAATTAGACTGAATAACTTGCTTCCCATACCAGACAGGAGCATGGAGGGTACAAACCAAGACAGTGCACAGGGAAAATGGAGCACCCTTGTCTCCTTGCTGTGGGTGAGACTTTTCAAAACACATAAGAGCCTCAAGGACATTGACAAACCCAATGGAAACGGGATTTGGATTAAACATGTGTGCCTAGTATCAGGACCTGCAGGGGATGGAGCTAAGGGGGTGGTGAGAGTGGAGGGGTCAGGAGAACTGCAGTGTTGTTATAAAATAGTGTCTGTGCATGCGTGCGTGTGATGTTTATATGAATGTGGGTAGGCCCTTGACAGGCCCTGGAAGGGGAAATGAGGGGGCTGGAAAACAACCTTTGGCTGAGATGATTCTAGAAACTAGATCGTATCTAGTTAGGAAGGAGCAGCAGGCAGCAGTATACAAGGAACCTAGGGGATAAAGGGAAAGAAGGATCTCAAGAGAGGTACGGCCATAGGAGAAGGGTATTAGTAAGGGAGAAAGGGGGGAAATGGGGGCACATTAAGTGGGAAAACCATGATGGAGGGGTGAGACAATGCGAGAGATAAACAATGCCTAGCTGTTGGGAGCTATTAATCCATTATGTACATCGAGCTGTGGCAGTCTTGCTTGTTTACTTAGAGTTTGTGTTTTGACCTAATCTGCCAAGTCAGGAGGAATGTGTTTATATGGTGGAGTTCACAAGTATTTGACTGCTCCCTGACCCTCAGATACAGGTGGGAAAAAACAGCTGTTGAAACTAATTGAGTTCTCCTGTATAAAAAGGAGGAGAAAAAATAAACAGCGGGCTGCAGTCACTATTCTCAGCCCTCCAGAGTATCTTTTCTGTCTCTTGTTTTTTCTTTCAATCCTCACTCCCCCTTTCAGGTATTGTCCATCTTGGTCGGCTGGCACCGGCAAACACTCAGTGTTCTTAGCTGCTGAGCCATCTCTCCAGCCCCTATTATTTTTGCATATGAGTGTATTATGCCTGTATACAGGTAGGTGCACTCATATTGTACAATGTCAGTCCAGTCAGAGGAGGGCACTGATTTACCCTGGAACTGGAGCTACAGATGGTTGTTAGCCACCTTGCTGGGAGTCAAACTCAGGTCCTCCCCGCCCCCATCCAAGGTGCCTTTATTCACGGTGTTTTTTTTTTTGTTGTTTGTTTTTTTCAATTAGAAGAAGTATTTCATTACAACAGCATTAACTTATTCAATAACATTTTTCTGAGCTAGGGTATATCTCTTTCAAAATTGGGTGTACATTTTTAGGTTTACAGATGAATTATTACGCTTATACAATCTTTTACTCATTATAAACTCTGTAAGACATAAAATTAAATGAGGTTCCAACGTTTAAAAAAGAT